TGTTTCAATCACAGAATGGCCAGGATTGGAAGGGACTTCAAGGATCATGAATCTCCAACCCCCCGCCACATGCAGGGCCACCAACCTCCACGTGTGGTACTAGATCAGATTGCCCAGGGCTCCATCCAACCTGGTCTTGGGCAATTCCAGGGACAGAGTACCCACGTATTCTCTGGGCAGCCTGTTCCAGCACCTCACCACTCTCTCTGTAAAGAACTTCCCCCTGACATCTAACCTAAATCTTCCCTCCCTCAACTTAAAATCATTTTCCCTTGTCCTGCCGTTATCTACCCTTTCAAAGAGTTTATTACCCTCCCCTCTGTAGGCTCCCTTTAGGTACTGAAAGGCTGCAATGAGGTCACCCTGCAGCCTTCTTTTCTCCAGGCTGAACAAGCCCAGCTCCCTCAGCCTGTCTTCGTAGGGGAGGCGCTCCAGTCCCCTGATCATCTCTGTGGCCCTCCTCTGGACCCTCTCCAACAGCTCTCTGACTTTCTCGTACTGGGGGCTCCAGACCTGGACACAGTATTCCAGATGGGGCCTCAAAGAGCAGAGTAGAGGGGCACAATCACCACCCTGTCTCTGCTGGCCACCCCTCTTCTGATGGAGCCCAGCATACCATTTGCTTTCTGAGCTGTCAGAGCACACTGCTGGCTCATGTTAAGATTTTCATCCATCAAGACCCCCAAGTCCTTCTCCACAGGGCTGCTCTCAAGGACTGCTCCTTTCAGTTTGTATAGATGCCTGGGATTCCTTCGGCCCAAGTTCAAAACCATGAACCAAAATAATGAACTGCAATTTAGTAGTAACAGGAAGAAAAGTGGGTATTTTAGTTCACAGTCTCTAAGACATAGTGCCTATTTTACTGGTATAGCAAATTTCAAATCCCTGCCATAGAATCACAGAATCATAGGTAGGAAGGGACCTTTAAGATCATTTAAGATCTAGAAGATCATCCAATTACTTATTACAGCTAGGCATCAATGATTCAACTTTCACTGATTGTGTCTTTTTACAGAATAAAAGCAAATTGTAAAGTATTAAACTTGGAAAAGAAGATGGACAGAGTTCATTAATGTATAACATGCATACTGTATGTTACTTTCCTCGTCTGAATCCACATCACAGTAGTATCAATGCTGCTATCAAAAAAGTAAACTTTAAGATTTGTGTTACTGTTTATAATTAAACATTGCAAATGCAAAGCGGCTTATCAGTTACTTTTCCTTCTTCCTTATCTTCAAAATGATAACAATTCAAATTAATTTGATTTTTCCATATTTACAAGTTTTATAATAGACTGAAATCCTAAGGGATTCCACAGCAGATGGATGACTGTGTTATTTTAATTACAGCTACCTAAGGGTTTAGAAAGCTTTTTTTTTTTTTTTTTTGTTTTTTTAAGATAATCTATTTTTCATTTTAAGGAACACAATAAACACTGAATATCTATGCTTTTTATTGACAAAATGGATCCACCTCCATGACTACTGTGGCCTTCTTCACTAAAATTACACAACTGTTATATACTGTTTCTCCAGACCTCAATTTATTCAAGAGACAGAATGGTGAACACATCCAATTGCCATGTTTGGCTTACTTAGATATGGAGCTAGAAAGATGTATTGGGAATAATAGTTTACTATTTAATAACTCATTAGCTCTACTTAATTCAGAACAATATCTCTACAGCAGCTTAAGATTTTAGCTTAGGTAACACACATCATAGTTTCAGCTGGGATGGAATTGTTTTCTTCAGAGTGTCTGGTAGGATGCTATGTTTTGTTTCTAGGAGAAAAACAACATTGATAACACACTGTTTACAGATGCTGCTAAGCAGTGTTTCACAGGCCTAAGGTCATTCTCAGTGAAGGGTGTAAGGACCTGGGAGAAAAGAGAATTAGGACAGCTGATTTAAACTGGCCAAAGGAATATTCCATACCATATGATGTCAGAAGGTGTTCTGAAGGTAGTGGGAGTTCATCTGGCTCTCTCCTCCTACTCAAAGAGCTAGCTAGGCATTAGTTGGTGGGTGGCAATTGCTTGTACATCACTTGTTATACAAATTCATATATTCATAACTTTTCATATATACATAACTTTTCCTTTTCTCTATATTAGAAAATAGTTTTATATCAACCCACAAGCTCTACTTGTTTTATTTTTTTTTTTCAATTCTCAACCTGACCCTACAAGGAAGTGGGGTGAAGTGCATGAACAACTAGCATAGTGCTTAGCTATCCGCTGGGTTGAATCACATGCGTATAAAGAAAAGGTAATACAAAAGAACACAACATTCAAGACAGAATTGTTCTCCTTTGAGAAATTCCAACCTTTGACCTTAGCATAAAATTCTCAGAAATATATATAAATCTGAGCAAACATTATTCAATCAGGGAGAGAATGAGAAAAGTAAGTTTGTGTAAATAAAGTCTGATAAGGGTTTTTGGGTGTTATTTGTTCCTCCTGTACAAACAGTGGAGGTGCAATACAGAATTGGGTTCTCACAACACATTCCCAGTCCTTGTAGAAAACCACACTATATCTTTTATGAAGTAAGAAACAGAAATGAGTGTCAATTTAGCTATTCAACTAATTCATACAGTCAAGCCCTTTTACTGTTCCAGAGTGATGTTTAATAACAGATTCAATTTTAGAAACAGATTTTTGTTTCACTTTCATGTCAATCAGCATGAATTTATTGGTCTTAATTAGTTTTCCTGGACACTACTCATTGCTAAACTATCTGAAAAATGCACTATGAAATTTTAGTAACTGTCTTCATATCAAATGTAAAACAAACCTTTGATGAATCATGCTGTTTGACTGAACAACATTCTTCCCAGGACTGAAGAACTCCTCACAGAAAGAATGTGTGATAATGGTAGAACTGACAGGGAGAGAAAGCAAGCATGTGTAATATAGGCACCTGACCTTTGCCTACATTACATATGATTAACTAATCTCCAGGTTAATTACCAACTATTGTTCAGAAGACCTCCCACTACCCCATTTCTAAGTTCCTCTTAGAATTTCTGGAGAATACTGTAATGGAAAACTGTTCATCAGCTAGCCTTTAAAGTTTTTTAATGTGAAAGAGAAAATACTATATTTAATTTTTGAACTTGAATATTTTCACTTTAGCTTCAAACTCCTGTTATTTACTTTCCGTCACCTTAGGATTTAATTTAGCATTTAGTGTTTCTAAAATGATATTCTTCACAATAAGAGCACATGAATATAAGTTTGGAGAGAGTGAAATATCTGATAACACCAATTGTTTTAAATTATGTAGGAGAAACAAAAAATCTTCCCAAAGAAAAGGAGGAGGACTTTGCATATCGCTGAACTCTGGGATTCACTTTTTTTCCACTTAGCAGCTAAAGCACTGAGGACACAATGCATCATGGAATTTCTGTTTGAGAATTGTAAACATATATGACCTTTCAAAATTAATGATCAATACTGCCTGTGTAAGAATGCATGAGAAAAAAAAAAAGATTTATATACAATACAAAAAGGCATTTTGTACATACCAGGGTGGTTGATTAAAAAGAATAATAGTAACAAAAAGAATTTTAAAAGTAGCTTGGTTTGTTGAAAAGTTGTCTGTGGACTATACTATCCTCCAAGAAAAATGAGATAAACATCCCCCAAAGCAGAAAAGGAAACTGCACTGAGCCTTCCATGTAATTGGCATTATGCCATACATTAAACTATGACCTAAAAAGAAATAATGAGAGACGCAAGATGAACAGTCTAGATGTCAAATCTTTTATGTCATGAAGACATTATGTGGGCTTTTGACAGAATCACTGAAATGATCATTTCCACTGAGAAGTGTCAGATATACACAAAAAGCAAATTTTATGAATCAATGAAAAGTACAACAAGTGTTGCTTGTTAAACCTCCTGAGTGACACAGGACAACAAAAAACTCTTAATGAGCAGAATTTAGAAGAATCTTGCAATGCAACTTTATGTGAACTGAGCTTTTAAGGAGGAATAAAATAATGACACAAATGGCACTTTAGCAACTCTCTTCATTAAATCAAAGATTCTCAAATAAAGATTATTCTTTTAGCAAGAATTCAGATGGTAATGGCTAAATGGCAAGGTTACTACATAAAAGAAAGAGAAGCTCTAAATTACTAAAGGGGCTTTTTGCTTTCAAACTTCAAAGGGAAGTCTGAAGTCTCCAAGGACACTTGGATTTACATGCTATGTTCATAAAAATTAAATGTCAGTATAAATAACAGGTTCTTCCCAAAGCAGGCTTGCTTCTCCAGAGTTAGTGACAGACTGAATACTCCAAATGAGTAAACTACAACCTAAGAGAAAAGTTATCACAGATAGTAAAGAACGAAACTGCATTTTCCAGCAGATATCACCAATGTTTCTATATTTTCTGATTTTGCAAGTGCTTCAAAATATTAAAATGTATTACTTCACACACAAAATAAATTAAATTTATCATTTCTCCTTTATTCTTTGCTGTAATTATGACATCCGTATGAAACTAACAGACAGATTACTCTGTCAAGTATTGCAATTCTGCAATGTATATCCTTTAATGCAATATAAATTGCATACTTTGGGGTGGATTATATAATACAGAGCTTTCAAAAGATGAGCCAGATTGATTATGTTATCTTAAGTATTTATACCACCAGATCTGCAAATCTTTTATGCCTGAAATAAGTATAAGGAAATACTCTGAATCTTAACTGTTCTGCATCTCCTTTCCATTAGACGTATAGGAATGTGAAAGCATTTAAAGACCAGTAATTGTCTGTACTGTTTCAAATACATTATATTTTGTTCCAAACTTAGGTATTTCCCATCAGATAAGTAACAAATTTGTGAGTTGTCGAAGAAAATTTTCAACAACACTGACACTGTTAGATACATTTTAAAGGAAAGAAATTTAAATACATAGATTTAAATACGTTTAAATGCATACATTTAAATATTGCACAGCAGTAAATCATTAGGAAACTGACCTTCATATCTTCCCATACTGAAATAACAATTTGATCGATTCTCAGAAAGATGTAAAACGAATTTTTCAATTAATTCTGCCAAAACTGGAAAAAGAAGAAAAACATTAAAATGTTAAAGGTGATGAACGAAATCAAGATCTACACTGCCTAACAAAATGACAGTATGTAACTAGAGCTATTTGAATTTCTAGATGCTTATTCATGTTTTTTTATGGGGGAACAATTCAAAGCATACAACCTGCTTTTACATTCCCAACACCATTCCTAACTTAAAATAAATTTGAACAGGCTTACCAAGAATATATTCTGTGTAAACCGATTGAAATTTCCACATTATCTTTAAATCCTTGAAGGATGATTACAGAATTTATTCCATGGTTTCAATATAAAATGAAAATTAACTATTATTAAACTATAGTGTCTTATCTCATTTTTTTCTGTGTACATAAGAAATGAAAAAAAACCACCACAAAACGATTCTGACAAAAGTGAAAGATGTTTTAAGTGCTGATTCTAGTAAACAACATAAAAACAACTATGTCATCACAGGATAAAAAACTACAAACTTAAATTTAAATGATAGGAGTATTTCCTTTTGGAACTTCTGCACTTTAAGATGATTACTATAGCATTATTCAGTTCCTGCCATGGAACTTGGAGTCCATACATAGATAAACAACTTGTTGAAACTGATCACTTTGTAAGAAACTGCATCTCCCACCTTAATGAGATGCTACTTAGGATATTAGTGACAGCTCTCAGTAAAAGATCATTAAAAAAAAAAAATTGTGATTCCACAGTTCCGCAAGTTTGAGGCTCCTTCAAGTGAACACGCTACCACTTCACAGGATACAAAAGGATACAAGGAAGCCTTTCTACATATTGCATGGAGGATACTGATACTGAAATGAGACACATTAAGAACTCAACATATAGCAATGATGAACATTTTTTGATGAGTCAACGCTGTTCCAAACTAGCAGCTGTTGCATAAGCTGACTTTAAAGACTAGTGATATAAATTCTTTCTTGCAGCAACACAAAGCAAAGAAACGTGACTGGAGAGTAACAAGAGTTGCTGCTGGTGGGATTTTATTTATTTATTTATTTATTTATTTATTAAAAGTCTGAACATTCCAATCTCTCTGGCATCACCTCAATCTCATAGCACTAAATCCGCAGCCCCTACTCATTCATTCCTGACAAAATGTTGTGCATTCACAGGATGTTTTCCTATTTTAAAACTGGAAAATTCCAATAAACCATTTCAGTGGGAATCTGTACAAACTACCAAAAGCAGCATGAACACAGTGTAAAAAGCTGTGGTGTAGACAGCAATGGAGAGAAGCATTAGTATCTTGAACTAGCCTTGCTGACAGGAAACCTAACAAAGGAGGAGTCTGCAGTGCAAGCTATTTTCATGCAGGACGAGGAGGAGAAAGGCAGAGCTTCTCATTGCTTGTTAAGTCAGAAAAAAAGATGAACAAAACAACTTTCAAGACCATAATCAACTTTTCTTCCAGCTATTTAAAACAAACTGACATTAAATCATTATTTTTATATTAATTATCTAACATTATAGAAATCCATTTACAATGAATGAGTTCATAAAAGGTTTTTAAAAGGCTTAGTTTTGCTATTATTATGCTGAGAGGTCCCTTCGTAGGAAAAATAATATCCACTACAACAGCTAAACACAGATTCACAGTTAGAGACAGCCAGCTCTAACAGTAACAAAACTAATTTTCTAATGCAAAGGACTAGCAAATCAAAACAAAAAGTATTAAACGTGTAATTTATATTCTTACGCATTCTTATGAACAGAACTATTTTAATCACAGTTTTAATAAACCACATAGGGATAGAAAAAAAAAATTGTAGAAGAGCAACAGTTTATTCACTTTGTGAGAATACAAAGCCTTACAACATCATTAATACAATTAGTGAACTGTGGTCCACAATCTGTGTAAAAAATATTGCATAAATAAAACAAGAAAAATAAGAGCCCACAGAAAACAAACTTATAACCAGGTATACTTTCACTGTATGATTATTAATATTGTCATAACTGAAATATGCCATCCTACAATAACAAACAGGAGCTATGTTAAAGGAATAAAATATTATATAATTTGGAAAATATAAATCAAGTTAGTACATTGTATTTTAATTCCCTTTCTGTTGGAAGGCATCCACACGCTTGACCTACCAGTCAAATATTTCAGTTCAGTGCTTGAGTTAATAGGAGAAGTGACAGCTCAACAACTGCTAAGCAATTTTTTGAAACTTGAGCACAAAATTGATTTCAACCATTTGGCAGTATTTATTTGCATGCCTATCAGGATCTTGGAAAAGCTTTTAATCAAGTTTCAGAGAGGAAAAGACACATTAGAGTTTATCAGCACAAATTCGGTTAATACATAAATAGAGGGTTTTCACGGGACATCGTCTCTTCCAAGAGAATGTTCACATGAAATGACAAGGAGTTATTGTAATTCTTATCCTTTAATGCTATATCATTTAGCTGCCAAGTAAACATACTCTAGAAATCTTTAAAAAGATGGAAACTGGCTCAGTGATCTTCAATTTACTGGAAAAATAGCCAAACAAAATTTAGAAATGTTCACTGTACAGCAGAGTGAGTACTGTTGTAATAGCCCACGTTCTGATGCAGAGATTATGTTCAGATACACAGAGTATCATGGCCTAACAACTTGCTGGCAATGTTTATCTTCTTACATTATCATAGTTTGACAGTAAAAACACTAAAGTTTTTAAAAGACTGACAAATATCTCAAGTAAATTTAAGCTGTTTATTCAAAATAAACACAATTTTAATTTAGGAGTATGTAAAAATATACAAAATTCAATGGAAAAGCTTTTAAATCAACTAAATTATTACAGCATGCTCATAAAAAAGCTGTATTCCTGCAGGATGCTCTTCTTGTTTCCTTAAAGAACTAATGTACAAAAGGAAACTAATACAATTTTTTTTCTAAATAGCATAAGAACACTGATTTTAAAAATGCTATGTCTCAAACTGTTTTACTGGGTACCGGCAGGGAGAGGTTATCTAATGCTGCTCTGAGTAATTTAAGCCAGAAACATAAAAACAACAGCAAAAAATATTAGAATTTTTTAATTTTTCCTCTAAGTAGATAGTGTTATTTTAACATATTCTATACTAAATCACAGATGCTTCTAACAATAGTCCTTGGACCATTGACTTATTTAAAAGTTAGGATTCGAAATTTTCAATACCATCAACCATAATTCAGTTAAATAAATCAATGATAAACACAGTTAGCAAGCAGCTCCATTCCTAATGGCACACCTGGGAGGACTTGTATGAATTCCCAAGACAACAGGAGAGACTTCAGTTATTGTACACAGAAATGACAAAGGCACAACCAGCATTTTGTTTGAAAAGAAGAAAACAAGACAATAGAAATTCTGACAGTAATTCCATTACATTGATGTACTTGTAACTTTTTTATTAAGAGGAAGACAATTTTTTTCAAATCCTACAGTTATTGTATGATGTTGGATTGGAAAGTGGTCTAAACTGTTTTGAGGGACAGAAGAGAGAAGTTCTCATCTGCAATTACTCTTCCTGTGTGATGTGGAAGACCTGCTGTTTCCCTCATTCTGAAATAAGCTCCCTTGAAAAATCAAGTAAGAACGTAATAAGGTAAAAATGTATTTTTTGTATTATTCTAAAATCCTCTGCTGCGAATGAAATACTGTTTTGAAATTGGTTGAAATTGGTTATACTCAAAATAAGAGCAGACTTCAGAAAGAATCTACATCTAACTGAATGATTTTTGAGGCAAGAAACTTGGTCCACACTTTAAAAAATTAAGCAAAAAGAACCTAGTTTTGTTTTTGTTTTTGTTTTAAAGTTACACAGGGTCCTCTGAGTATCAACTCAGAGGTGAAATCGAATGCAGTTTGCCTGATTTGGAAATAATATTCTAGAAAATTCTCTCTCACATACTTCAAAAGTGAGAAAATTACTCTGCAGTTAGTCAGGTCTTCTTTGGAGGTATCAAATGAAGGTTGAAATCTAAAACTTTTTCTATCCAAAAAACAATAGTATGATAGTAAAGATTCTAAAAACAGTATTTCAATGTCTTTGAATCCATAAGGCCTTTGAGTTGTTGAAAAACACCTGAAAGACAACACAGTCACTGCTCTACAGACATCACTAAATTGGGAGGAGTTGCTGACTCCCTCAAGGGCAGAGAGGCCTTGCAGAAAGGTCTTTAAAAACTAGAGGGCTGGGCAATCATCAGTCATGTGAACTTCAATAAGCTTCAGCTTGTGGACAGGGTAACCTGAGTGATGAGAGGCTACAGAGTAGCCCCATGGAAAGGGATTTGGGCATTTGGGTTGATGGCAAGTCGAAAATGAGTCAGCAGTGTGCTCTGGCAGCAGGAAGGCCAACCATATCACAGGGTGTATGAGGCTCAGCACTGCTGCTGGCTGAGAGAAGGGACCGTCCCATCCTGCTCTGGACTGGTGTGGCCTCATCTCAAGCACTGTGCAGTTGTGGGTGAGATGATACAAAAAGGACATAAAACTGTAAGAAGCTGTACAAAAGGGCTATGAAATTGGTGAAAGGTGGGGAGAGCAAGACATATGCCCTGCAGAAGTCCATGCAAAGCTTAACAATTCTGTGGATACTTTCTTGCTCACTTTTACTAAAATCTATGTTGGAAACAGTTAACCCTACTCTTCTGGTTAAGAAATCTTAATGATTCTCTTTAATTTTTAATTCTAGCTTATGGTACCTCCAACAAAGTTGCAGAAAACAACTTACACAGGTTTTGATGTATAGACTACTACGAAGAACAAAGTGAATTTTCTTTTCTCCTTGTAAATCAGCTACTTTAAAATGTATGCTGTTTGCCTTTTTTTTTTTTTAAATAAAAAGTATGTTTTGTCAACAAAGAATTACTTTTAGATACAGGAAGTCAGACTAATAATCTTCAACATAAACTTAAAAAGTTCCCCAAGAGATCAGTCTAGAAAATAGGCTGCATTCAAACAAAATTGATTTTACAGTGATAAACTATTTGTGCTTTCAATGTAGCATTGAAAAAATACATTGAACTACTAGATCTCAGAGATGCAAGAAAAGGAAACAACTTTTTTGTTAGAAAATATGTTTTTTTAATTGTTACTATTTATTTTTATTACACTAGCAGAAGATCATCAAATATATTCAGTTTTTTCTCAATGGTTCTGAATCTCCATTTGCTCACCTGTTTCACAAAGCTTTGTGAATACATGCACTTTTGGGCATGTACAATACAATGTAAATTATAAGCACGATACGTAGAATTTAGAAACATTCAGTTACTTATGTTCAGTTTTTTATTTTAACAGTATTTATACAAACGACAAGTTTCTTACTAGCAAATACTAAATAGGTTCATGTACAAATTACTTCCTTAAAGCTTCTGAAACGGTTATGTTGCTTTCTTTCATACAGCTATACAAATTACCATAAAATTCAGGTCTGTTATGCAAAACACACTTGCTGGATTACTTTTATCCCATATACAAAATATTTCTCACATATTCACAACCTTATTAGTTGCCTTCCTAAAGAAATTTAAAAAGGAAGTCTTTGGCACCTATGAAAACAATATTACACAATTTTGAACCTAATCAGAATTTTTACTGAATTAGAAGTCAGCAATTTCTGAAAACAGCTAGCTTCTTTATTGCTATACAAGTATAATATTTTATTACAAGTGAGTTATTAAGGCATTTGATCATTTATGCCATGAGTGATTCCTGCTTTTTTTGTTTTTGTTTTTTCCTGTTTTCAGTTATCTATAACAATTGACCAGTATATTCTTATTTTTGTTAAAAATGCATGCGAGAATGAAGAATCTGAATGAGAAAATTATTTGATGTTCAGTAAGCCTAAATTCTGGAAACATTCACTAAAATTTGTCAATCCTGTTTCCTGGGGACTATCACACTGAAATAGTTTTCTTATTTAACACAAAATTGACTACTTGTTTAGAAAACATAACTCAGTGAAACTTTAAAGAACAGCTGCATGCTAAAGGCCTTCTGTTTGCTTGCTTTGTTAAACTCAGTAAGTCATACTCACTTGCTCCACTGATGGTATCTGGTCTGGTTTTCATGATTTTGCAGAACTGCCTTCTGCAAATTTCGGCCCACTCGGATTGTCCACCTGGATTTTGTAAGATTGATATCAGCTTGTCAAGAACTTTATCTAGAAGAAATAAAACTAGTGTTATTATGTAATGACAACCCTGGCTTTTTTTTTTTTTTTTTTTTTTAACTTAGCTACTATTATTATTAGAGACAGAGCACCACAGAGACAAAGTAGATCCATATCAAATATCAGAAAAGTCAAATATAACTATTGCCTTTCCATTTAATTTTGTCTCTGATATCGAAAATTTCATCACAGAATCTAAAATAATGAAGACATGCAAAGAACATCCTGGATTAATAATAAAAGTGAGATGGTAGCATTATTTTGTTGAAAATGCACTGGATCCCAAATGGTATGAAAATTCTTACAATAGCTGTGCTAATAATCCCCAATGCTTCCCAACTTCAGCACAAGGAGTCAAAACTGGGGAAAAAGACTACTTTGAACATTTATGTTTGATGTCACTAAAATATGACCCAATAGCTACCTTGCAAATTAAGGTATTAAAATTTAGATTTAATATTAAATATTTTATTAATATATTAATTAATATTTAGATATTAACATTTTATTAATATTTAGAAAAAAATATTAATATTTAGAAAAAGTGTAGAATTTGACACTCAGTTCTCTTAAGAATCTAAATGCACCCAACATCTTCCACAGCCACAGCTGTCTTCACTGGTGCTGTCAAGATGCAAGAATAATTTGGGCATTTTCTAACTCCAGAGTGCTTTACCTGAGCACTGTATTAAAGTACAGTCTTTTGGTGCATACAAGTCACAAAAATAGCAGATAACATTTTTTATTACATTTTTTACAAAACAAATCTGTGCTACAGTTTGTAGGAAAATCCTTATGAAAGAATCCTCTCTATTACAAAGAATTTCAAAGAGTGCTCCTCACTGTCACTCTTATCTTGTTATTATTAAAGCCATATTCTCGTTTTCTTTACAATATGGAAACACATATTCCAAATTAATATTGCCACTGATGCAATGACAAAAGGACAGGATGCATGCACTCTTTTCTCTTGGCTAAAAGTTATTTTTTTCCTCTAATTTCAACCAAGTTAGGGGAAATTACATATACTCTATCATTTTTCTAGAATCAAACATCACAGGTCAAGGCAGTAAGTTCCACAACTAAGTGAAGTCAAGCCAAGTCCAAACAGAAGTATGAAAATAGAACAAACAGTGACAAGTGGAGAACCACCCCGTATCAGACATAGAAATGCTAGTCTGGCTTTGGCAAAATGATGTCTGTACTTAAAAGTCTGAATATATATTTTATTAAATCAAATATCTTCAATCAAATTTCTATTTTGGAATTCAGACTGAACACCAAATATTAGGAAAACTATGTGGACACATGATGAAGTGGCACACTGAACAGTGTATACACAGTAGTGATTAAAAGAACGCATTCATATGCTTTGACTAATAGTTTGTTTCTTTCCAAGTCCAAGATTTGTTTAAAAACGTTAATATTATAGAAAGGACTGACTCATCTACTCATTCTTTTATTTCTTCTTTCCTCTGAAGGCAGAGCAAATTTCAAGTTTAGTTATTTATCAGGGTAATTATATGTAAGAGAAAACAGATCAAACTTAGATTTCTAGCATAAAATACTGTCCATAAAAAAATGGAAGCAATCAATAAGAGCATCTCTCCTCAATCTACTTGGTTACCAGAGTAATTGAGAGTGCTATGTGTTCTCTTGTCAACTTGAGAACAAACAAAGTTTTTATCTTGTAATAAGATAAATGCATATGAACTCACTCCAACTGTGAGCAATCCCTTTTCTGTGGGATCATGCAATTCCTATCACTTTGAAAAGATCACAGTCTGGCCTATTCTCCTTTGCTCTGTTTCTATGTCTTGGAAAAAACAGAACTAAACACCACCAACCACTGTAAAACTGAATTCTGTCTTAAAAGGTGACTTCTTATTAAAGACTGAAAAAGTGTTAGAGCCAATCTATTGCTCTTTACAAATCCTTTCATTGCTTTCATATATGCATAGCGTTTCAGTGTTCAGTTTTCAAACACAACTTAATTGTTTTTACAATAGAAATACTATTTTCAAATGATCTTACTATTTTAAGCTGATTAAAGTATTTTCAAAAGATTTACTATAATGCATATAGTTTAAGCTGGTCAAAAGCCCTTAATGATATATAATCAGTAAATTGTCTTCCTCTTACTAAACTTATTAAAACAACATATACTATTTCAAAAAAGCTGATTATAGCAACTTAATTATTAGCACTACTAACTCTTCCAAATTAATTAACATGAAATTTCTTTTTTTTATCCTCAACTAAATTCTCAGTTAATATCTTTCCAAATGACATTCAATGATGCTTCAAACAGTTTATGTGAATGTGAAAAATTAATGCAAAGAAGGATTGACTCCTAGAGTTTTATCAATAGGATTTTTAGTTATTTTTCTCTCCTTTTCTGCCGTTTCTGTAACAGATTAAGGTTGAAGAAAATCTCAGAACTGCAGAACAACACTCTTCTACAAGTTACACAAGTTTTCACTTCCTGAAGGACTGTAGTAATTCAGTTTGGCAGCTGAGGATCAGAAACTACAAGTTGAGACTTAAGCAATCAAGTCATTGAACAGACCAAGATGAAATTTTGATTCCACTAATGGAAATAAAACTACACAAAAATGCTGCAATAATTTCAAGAAAGTAGGCTTTCAAGACCATGACATAACCATCTCTGCTGCTTCCTCCTGGCTTCTTGATTTGACCCTTATTTTTCTTTGCAGTTTGTCTCTATATAAGGGGTAAGGCCTTCCTTTTCAGATGACAGTGGGCTATTAAATAGGCTTGACAATAACAAGAAATCACTGAGAGAAGCTTATGCAATTTGATTCATATCCTGAAGTTCTGTGTTTTTCCTTACATGCAGTTGGTTATATTTTCCTATACCATCCATTTGTTTGTGCTTGCACTGGTAGCTTTGTGTAGCTTTGTCAAAAAATAAACTTATTTACCAGTTCACGAGGCTACTGAACCTACTGTACCACTGCACATGAAATCTGAACCACCACACTGTAACTTTCTGTAAGATCATACTGATTTTGTTCCCTAAAAGAAGTGCTTATTAATTCTTGACCTTATTCTTCAGCTAGCTTATGTGCTGAAAGCAGGCAAGGAAAATTCATAAGTGCTTTAGAAAACTTAAGAAATGCCACAACCCCTTTCTTATTTAATTGTGGGTATGACAAAACTGTTTTTCTGTGACAAAGTATCTCAGATCTGTAAATTCATGTGTATCTCATTCAAAATCTGATGTCAGAGATAATGAATTACTTGACTGCATTATATTGCTCTGTTACATGAAAACAAATCCTTATAGGAATACATATTTCAGGAGAGCCTATACACATTTCAGACAGGTCTATACACCTATTGTCCTTCATCTTTCAGTAACTCAGTGTGAAAGAGAGTGGAAAAAAAAGAAGCTTGTAAGAAGGACAAGACATAGAAGTGCAGGCGATGAAGATGCTTGTGTTAACTTACAAAGGATAACAGGAAAGGATAACAGGCAAGCTATTAAAGCTGGTTTTTGACAGAGGACAGTGCAGAGAAAGAGAGAGATAAAAAGTCTGCTGAAAACAAACCTGATTAAAAAAACAGAAACACTGCAGCATGTTTCCACTCAAGTCAGAGTATAAAGCAGTGGCAGAATTCAGAAAACAATAGCTGAGATAGAATAACAAAAGACTTTAGGAATATGATTACAGAAGATCTTTGGTAGCAATTCTGGATTGTAGCTCAGGAAGAGAGAAGACAATGAATGGCAGAAAATACTAAGCAGTGACTGTGTCATTGCAGGAAAATTACAGACAGTATTCTCCAGTCACTCTTATCACCAACTCTGAAGTACAGAACAAGAAGAGAAGATAAACAGATCTGTGCTAACAGAAGTGTGACTTTTACAGTATAATACAGTTCTAAAATGTTTAACTGTTAATAACCTACAGCAGCTAATATTACAAGTAAAAAATCCATTATTTTTAATAGTTGTATTCTGAATAACAAATAACTATGGTACTCTACAACTTATGTGAAGCCAGGAGTTAGACTCTGTGATCCTTTTGAGTCCCTTCCAACTCAGAATATTCTGTGATTCTATGATTGTAGTATATATTCACACATCACACCTCAAAGGCACAATCTGTAGCTCTGCTCTAGAATCCCTCCAATGTATCTGTTTTCCGAAGACTGCAGTACCCACAACTCACTAGCTTAAACTGACAGTTATCTTCTGTCTTGCATTACTGAAGTAAAGATAAAGAAGTTTCGTTTATTTTATAACAATATGGTCTTTTCTCTCATCAGAGAAATGAATTAGAGTCATCTATTCTTTATAAATTTTGTAAACTCTTTTATTTTTCCAGATATTTATAAATACATGTTTTAGACTACTGTTAATGTAGAATTTCTGTCTCTTCTGAAAATCAACACCTGCTAAGGAAATTTAAAAATAAGTTCTAATAATTACATTTCAGGGATATAATGAACATGAACAAATATAAAGAAAGATTTATTTACTGTAACTCATTCAGCATGTTCTTCTGCATTGTCTATGCAAATTAAAATTTTTAAATGGATTCTCTGTATGAATTAAATTGCTTTGCCTAGATAGTTCTTCAAAGGATTCTTCAGTCTGCCCACATTCTAAATTGATGTTCAATGTGAAAATCGACTATCCTAAACGCTGTCTATTTCACACACCACCAAGTTTTGTAAACACAGGGATCTGAATCAAGGAAACAGTGTACAAAAAAATTGTAGCTTAACCATAATGTCTTGCTTCAGTTACTAGAGAAATGATATAAATATATCTCATGAGTCACCCACCTGAGTTGAGCCAAAAGGTTAATCTTGAGGTTTGCATAGGAATTAGATTTCTAAACAGAGCTTTGCAGATTGACAGTTGCACAAAGATAGACAAGCAAAACCAAACTGAGTTATTTAGCTACAAATGCAGCCAACAATAAAAAATCCTTAGGATTCATGAGATTATAATCTAAGGGAAAAAAAAAAAAAAAAAACCAACACAAAAATAAATTGACAGAGATGCCTGTTTAACACCTACAGTATTTGCATGCTTCGTATGTACCTTGTCTGAAATCAGCTTTCCTAGGAACTTCTGCAAGATAGCACTTTGGCAAAGGGAATGATGAAAACATTGGCCATGGATATGGATCACTGCCCTAGAAAGAGGACAAAAAAGTAAATTAAGACAGGAGATGAATTAATAGCATTTTCTCAATTACTACACATCAGGTTCCCAGAACTACTGATTATGCAACAAAATTATGCTTAATACTACAGTGCAAGATAAAATACTTCATAACTAAAAGTTAAAGGATACAAAATTCTCAAAGCATTTGAGCTAGAACTTGTTCTGGTGCATATCACTGACAGTTTTGATGCTATGATGCTTTTTTCGACCAAAAGGGAAATAACCGTTCTCAAAAAAGCAAAAGAAGTGCAAAAAAGCACTGTACTTCAATTTTATACACTGATCTAGCAGGCTTTCCTGTGCTGACAGTAATTTGCTTTTTGTCTTTATGAGAGCGACAGCCAGTTAGAAGCAGAACATTTAAAGGAAGTGCTTAACAAACACTGTACTGTTAGAACATCGATGCAAGCTCAAGGTATTAGATACTACAGATGAGAAACCAAGAATAGAAAAAACATCATATAAAAGGATTGTAAAAAAAGAAGAGGCAATGAAGAAAATACAGGAATATAAAAGCGAGAAATAGACAAATTGCATTTAATTTTATAGTGAGAAAAGAAGCACTAAAATAAAGCAACACAAAAATTTCATCTGAATGTGGCAAGTCCCAAACACATGCAAACTAAACACCTAGACAGTAAAAACAACATATTTCTTTTTCCATGACAGTGGTATACATTTATAAAGATAAAGGTGGACTGCTATTTCTTAATAATAAATAATTTCCACATGCTGATACCAACAAAATGTTCAATAGATGAGAGTTAGAGAAATAAAAATTGTTAAAACTATTCTAACCTTATCTAGCGCTCTCAAAGGCAAAATTCTTTCCTGTGGTCCTCCAATAAGATTTATTCTGACAAGAACATGGTTTCTCTCAACTGATAGACTATCAACGATAAAATCTCTGGAAAACAAAACAACACACAAAAATAACTGAAATAAAATTAGAACCAATTTATCAGTGATACATCTTGGCAATTAGGAGGCAAAAAAAGAGCAGAAGACTTCACAGATTTTATTACATCCATGTGCTCAGTAACTAGGGTGGAAAGAGATAATAGAGTATCAAGATTTGTTTGTTATTTGGCCAATCAGCAAATTTCTGCCTTAACAAATAAGTAGTTACTCAGAATCTAGGAACACACAGCTCGTTGTCTGAAGCCACTGTGCAGCCCAAGATGCTAAAAGGAACAGAAATCAGTTTTATGCACGAAGTTTCTTAGAATATGGATGAGCTACTGTTCAAAGATATAATAGGTCTCTTCTTCAAATAGTAATAATAGCATTTATCCTTTGAGATTTAGCCCACGCCGTTTGATCCAAGCTCTGTACTGGCCCCATATGGCAAACAGTAAGAGTTTAGTTCTTAATGTTCAAATGTTAACAGAAAGGACAAAGTGTCAGGGAGTAAATGACTATCATCTTCAGACCACCAAATAAGCTTTCATTTCTTAAAGATGCATTGTGCATTATTATTTACATAACAGCAACAGAAAACCACTGCGGTTGGAGAGATGACTAAGTTATAAATACAAAAAAAATCAAAGTACTGGTGACTTTAATACATTACAGAATGGCCAGGATTGGAAGGGACCTCAAGGTCATGAATCTCCAACCCCCCGCCACATGCAGGGCCACCAACCTCCCCATTTTATACTAGAGCAGGCTGCCCAGGGCCCCATCCAATCTGGCCTTGAACACCTCCAGGAACGGGGCATCCACAACCTCTCTGGGCAGCCTGTATCTGCACCTCATCCCTCTCTCTGTAAAGAACTTCCCCCTGACATCTAACCTAAATCTTCCCTCCCTCAACTTAAAACGATTTTCCTGTGTCCTGCAGTTATCTACCCTTTCAAAGAGTTGATTCCCCTCCTCTTTGTAGGCTCCCTTTGGGTACTGAAAGGCTGAACAAGCCCAGCTCCCTCAGCCTGTCTTCGTAGGGGAGGTGCTCCACTCCCCCAATCATCTCTGTGGCCCTCCTCTGGACCCTCTCCAACAGCTCTCTGACTTTCTTGTACTGGGGGCTCCAGACCTGGACACAGTATTCCAGATGGGGCCTCACAAGAGCAGAGTAGAGGGAGACAATCACCTCCCTGTCCCTGCTGGCCACCCCTCTTCTGATGGAGCCCAGCATACCATTTGTTTTCCAAGCTGCAAGAGCACACTGCTGGCTCATGTTAAGCTTTTCATCCATCAAGACCCCCAAGTCCTTCCCTGCAGGGCTGCTCTCAAGGACCGCTCCTTCCAGTCTGTATAGATGCCTGTACAGATCCTCCCGCCCACATGCAAAACCTTGCACTTTGCTGTGTTGAACCTCATTAGGTTCACCCAGGCCCACCTTAACGCCCCACCTACATTTAATACACTTAATACCCACCTACATGAATATGAATAACATTATATACATAAAAAGAGTAACAAAATTATTTGAAAATGTGTATTTACATTCAGACACACAAAAATAAATAAGATTGATGCAAATAAAATACTTCCACATTTACATTTTTGAGGAAGTAGGAAACAGGACAAGTCTGCTGCATCTTTTGTTAATTTGAGACTGATGACAAGCATGCACGTAAGAAAAAACAGATAAGATGACAACTTCATTGAGAGCATCTATATATTTAAAGCCACTACATTACTCATATATTCTGAGGAGAAACGTCTGACAGTTAAAAGTAGCATTTACGTTGGTCAGTTCTCACCCTGGTCCTTCTGAAGCTTCTGTGACATTTTCTTCCTGAGCAGTGAGTAAAACTTGTGACACTTTATACTGAGTCTCCAAGAGCAAAAGGGTATTAAGCTCACAGCATAGCACATTTAACAACCTGCAGAAGGACACATCAAAATGATTGTATATCAGCCAGAATACCAGTAATGCAGGACAAGACAAAGGTGAACACGTTTATGAGATCTCAACATGGGGGAAAGGGAGGGAAGTTTCAGGATCTGAAAAACACTCAGACAGAACTGGGTTAGAAATGCTCTTATATATCCTTTTAAACCACTCAAGTGTCATAACCTTGAGCAAAAAGGGAATAGTTCCTAGCAGAGTCTTCATTGGTCAGCTCAGTATGATTTTAAATTTATATCACAGAAATGACACAGACTGAATAAAACATTCTATGTGACATGAAGAAATTATTCAATAATAGGCTGGTAAGGCAATTTAAAAATCAGGTTATTCTGGGCAGCGTAAGGATTGGAGAGAGACAAGATAAAAATACATCTTTCCTTCAGAAAATATGCTCATATGCACTTCTGTATGATCACATTTAACAACAGTTCAAAAACAATAAAATATTTAACATCCAACTAAGCCAGCAAATCTGCTGTTTTTCATATTTCTGAAAATCTCGAAAGAATGGTTAATAATCACAGTAGCACATTTAAACTTCAGAGCAAGCTAACAGTGAAACTAATCCATCACACTTCAATTGAATTGACCTACGTCAGATTCGTATTCTTGTCTTTTTCTTTATATTAATCCATTCACTATTAACACAGAAACAGAATAATTTCATTGAAGGCTTCCTGTTCATGCAAAATGATACAAATAAGCATTCTTGCTGCTGTTCTTATATACCTTTATTACAATCTTAAAACAATAAATTATCATCAGTACTATTGTTTGCCTTTATGTAAGACTTGATATGAACTGTCTCTTGTTTGAAATTTGTAGTCTATTAGTCAATGCTCGTTTCTTCCATGAAATTCACAAAGTACTTCTACTGACAATGGCAAAAATTCACAGGCCATTCTGTGGATGATTTAAAACCCACAAAGTCACAGTTGTGACCAAGGAATATATAGCCAAGATAATATAAATTTCCTGGATGGAGATCAGTGAAGAGTGGTGCCTACAGGGGTCAGTGCTAGGAATGATGCTCTTTAATAGCTACATCAATGACACTGACAGTGAGGTCGAGTGCACCCTCAGCAAGTTTGCGGATGACACAAGCTGTGCAGTGAGGTTGACAGAACCAAGGGACTAGATGCCATCCAGAGGGGCCTAGACAGGTTTGAGCACAGGACCAGGAGAACTCATCAGGTTCAGTAACTCAAAGTATACAAGGTCTTCCATCTCAGTCGAGACAATCTGCTACCAATACAAGTCAGGGAATGAAAGGATTGAGCACAGTCCTATCAAAATGGACGTGGTGTTACTGGTAGCTGGGAAGCTGGATATGAGCCAGCAATGCACCCTTGCAGCCCAGAAAGCCAACAGTATCCTGGGCTGCATCAAAAGAAGCATGGCCAGCAGGTTGAAGGAGGTGATCCTGCCCCTCTGTTGTGTGCTGGTGAGGCCTCAGCTAGAGTACTGTATCTAGATGCCGAGTCCTCAGCACAGGAGAGACACAGACCTGTTGGAGTGCATCCAGAGGAGGTCCACGAAAACAATCCAAGAAATGAAGCATTTCTCCTACAAGGACAGACTGGAAGAGCTGGAGAAGAGAAGGCTTTGAGGTGACCTGATAGCGGCCTTTCCATATCTAATGGGGCGCTACAGAAAAGAATGGAACAGACTCTTTAGCAGGGTTTAGCAGGGTTTCTGGTGACAGGACAAAGATAAATGGTTTCAAGCTTAAAAAGGGTAGATTTAGCTTGGATGTAAGGAAAAACGTTTTTACAGTGAAGGTGGTGAAGCACTGGAATGGGTGCCCAGACATGTGGTGGATGCCCCATCTCTGGAGACTTGCAAGGCCAGGCTGGACTAGGCTCTGAGCACTCTGATCCAGCTGTGAATTTCCCCGTTCACTGCAGGAAAGTTGGACTAGATGACCTTTTAATGGTCCCTTCCAACTCTAAGGATTCTATGATTCTATAACAGTATATATTTTTTCTTGCTGCTGCTGCTTTTTTGGTTCAGGTTCTAGCCTTTTCAAGTTCTATTTATTTTATGTTAACTATTCCTGACACTAATTCATTTTCAGTACTACTCTAAATCACATAAGAAATGACACATCAGCTGCACGGTGTTTTTTTTTTCATTACTATATAGAAGAAAAATCCACCAGAAGTGTACCAAAACCATGACCATGAAACTGGACCTTTTCTTCCATTAAGTAGGATAAGTTTAAATGGTAAAGAACCTGTTTGAGGTTTCCAGCAGCTAAAAGCCACAAGAAGACTGATGGCTAAGGATGCTTAGAGCATCTCCAATACACAAGGCAAAGCAGAAAAACAAAGCAAATCATAGGTAAACAGAATTCAGCAGAAGGGTAAGTGGCAAAATATGAAAGATCCTAAAATAAACAGCCCCTGCTAGCGCATTCAGATGACATTTTAAAGGCACAGGCCATCTACCAAGGATACTGCCTAATAAGGCTGTGATTGTTCAGTCTGAAGAAGATATGGCTTTGTGGGGATCTTATCAATGTTTATAATAGAGCTGACTGGAGAGTACAGAGGTGATGCGATGGGGAGAGAAGCAGAAAAGTAGAAGTGAGAAAACACATGGGTCAAGATAGGCAGCTTAGTAAGTAAAGAAAAGATGGGAAAAAACACAAGTGGTTGAAAGGTAGTCACACAATGCTTCCCAGAAGCAGTTCAGTGCTCTGCCATCCTCCAAGAAACAGCTACCTGCAAGACCAAATCCCGCCACACCTAAGTTTTCGTTGCCACGTATGCTATTATATGGTATATCCTTTTGGCCAATAAGCGCCAGCTCTTGCATACCTCAGACTACTTGCTGGGAAGTAGGAAAAAGACAAAGTCCTGCTCCTGAGCAGTGCTTGCACAGTGTCAGCCAAAACACTGGTGTGTTACCAATGTTGTTTTAGCCACAAATAAAAACAAAAAAATTACCTTCATCTCAGCTGGACCCAGTGTATAGTTCCAGCAATAAAGCAAAATGTTATGCTATAAGCAGAAGTAGTACATCTACCACAGGGAAAAAAGAAATCAGGCACATCCAAAGTAAACTATACTGTTATCTCAACAATTTGTTTGTTCAGGCATTGCGCAACTGTTGACCAAACCTGAAATGTGTATGTCTATGCTGTCCATAAGGCATTTTAGTGATGGGACCCCCAAATGGAGGGCTAGGCTATTCTCCAGAAAAGGGTTTTTTCTTGGCCTGCAATTATTGCCTGCTATAAATATAGGCATGGATAATTCAGCTTAGTGTAAATACACAGACTGCTTTGTAGAGGGTTCAGTTATGGGACAAGTTATGGTCTATGCTTCTCTCTCAGGAATCAATATTAAAAACATGAGAGGAAAAAATGAAGATTGGGACCTCATACGATAATTTCCTTCTTGATAAATGAATATGGATACCATCAGAGAAGCCTGAATCAAAATTTTTGTAATAATTCCAGAGTTGTCATCATGGGGGATAACCTCAAAACACTTCACATCAAAGCCTACATTATAAATTTGATTTATTCTTTATTATGCTTTGAGTAACTGCCTAAGCTCCAGTGAGAATACTAATCCAAAAAGCAAGTTACAATTACTACCGTGAGTGCCAGATCAGTAGATAAAGGCTATAAAAAGGAGAAACTGAAAGGCATCTAGTTAGTTTTGAAGAATAACAGGCACGTGGAAGCTCCATCCATGTAAAGCTTTTCAAACTGCCTTTGCAGATTGAACAAAAGTTGATAATAATGAGAGAACAGGCCTCCACACATCATCTTTCTAAATAACTAAAGGTTGTAATTGTCACATTGAAAGCAAAGCCACAACATAGTATCATGCAGTGTACTGGGAGTTAAAGAGTTAATGCTGAAATTCCATGGATTGTCAATATTTCCAGTTTCTTGGTCTCAAAAGAGAAGAATAAACTACAACTCCTAGAAGACTTCATTTTTCCATTTCCATTTTCCATTTGGAAGGAAAGACAAAGCTGACTGGGAGTCACAAGACTTTCCTCCTTGCACTGTGGCTGTTCCACCTACAGCACTGCCTCAAGGACTACAGTTTCAGAAACTCTCACTTTCTCATTTCATTTGATTGATTAGTTTCAATTCTAATCATATTGTATTATATTGTGTTTTCTCACATTCCACTACTATATTTAGTAAATCAAGTTATTTAGCTTGTTGTCACCGTTATCCTCAGTCCAGCCCCATCTCCCAACCTTTTCCCTTCTCCCTCACTTTCCAGGGGCATGGGTCCATTGGTCCTTTTGCCTCCTTGTCACAGAAGTAGGCCAAACCAGGCTGAACTGTGACACAAACCTAACAAATATATTAACATATATACTAAAAAAAAACACCCAAAAAACAATTAATTATATAACAATTGTATAATGTGAAAGCAGACAATCCTGTTGCAGCTCCATTTCATTAGTAATGTGGACTCTGTCCTCTTTTAAATTTGGATTATTAAACAGGAGTCACTGATTTGCAGGACATGTGCACTTTCCAGTTATCACTACTGCAGAAGTCTTTTCCCTTACATCTAGTACGCACACTTAGCAGTAAGACACTGCTTTCCAAATAATTGCTTACCTTTGGATAAAATAGTAGAAAATGGCTCACTAATTAATTGTTAATTGAATCACTTCTCGTGTAACAGAGAAAGGGTTAATAGAAAATAACTGGAAGATTATTTAGGCCTTCACATTTACAGAATACAACTCTGGTAGAATTAAAGAAAGAAAGAAATATTTCCAAGACACAATTCCTTCTTGCTATTACCATATTCTTGCCTCTCCTCAAGATGAAGAACTCAATGGACATCCTACCAATATCCCAAAATCTGTTGCAAGAGTCGATGTCCTAGCCGTGTCATTCAAATGTTAGTGATCAAAAGATTTCAGAGAAATTACATAACACTGTTCATGGGCTCCGGCAGTACATTTAAAGGAAAGAAATGTGGA